TTTTCTTTTCTTTTCTTTTCTTTTCTTTTCTTTTCTTTTCTTTTCTTCTCTTTTCTTCTCTTCTCTTCTCTTCTCTTCTCTTCTCTTTTCTTTTCTTATCTTTTCTTTCTTTCTTTTTTTAGAGGGGTTGGCCTTTCTCTTTTGTTTTTTGCTAGGTAATGGGGTTTAGTGACTTGCCCAGCATCACACAGCTAGTAAGTGTCAAGTATCTGAGGCCGGATTTGAACTCAGGTCTTCCTGACTCCAAGGCCACAGCTCCATCCACTGCGCAACCTAGCTGCCCCACCCTTTCTCTTTTTTATTTCCTTGTGAAAACCCCCAAAGTCCTGCACAGTTGAATAAACAGATAGACAAGGGCTGTATTCTTTTAAGCTCCGCTTCCTGTCAAAGGCTGAGGGTGCGCCTATCTTTGTAGGCTGTGCAGCCTCCCTCTGTCCCTCACCCCGGGACTAAGCTTTCCTAGCCCCCCCACTCCCCCCCACGTCTGTTCCTTGGCTCTTTTCCCAGGGGGCTAACCTGTCCATCTGCACCCTTGAGGGTCAGGCTGGCCATCCTGATCCTGGAGTGTCTCAAGGGTCTAAAGAATTTGTTTTGGAGTGTGATTGTTCACGAGCAGTACTAGTCGGGGCTTGGAGCTGTGGGGCTCGTTGATTTGGGAGGGTGGGAGGGCACGACATCTACCATTTCCCCCCAGGTCAGCTCTGGGGTGTGGGGAGATGACAACGCTGAACCTCCCTGTTATGGCTGGCGAATCCCAAGAACTGCGCTTTGTATTTCATGGGCCCTGAGTTGAGCAGTAGCACAGGGAGGTGTGGAGAGGCGCTCTCCTTGGAGACCTGATTCAGATTCTGCTTCAGACTCTTCCTAGCTGTGTGACCCTGGGCAAATCACTTAACCTGATTGCCTCACCAAAAGCTAATTAAAAGAAAAAAAAAAAAGAAAGACAAAAGATAGTCCCTGCCCTTAAGGAGCTCACAGTCTAATAACCTAATATCCAAGTAGGGATTAACATGGGTAAAACCATCATTCTGCTTCGGTCACTCAGACAAAGCCATGGCCGTGGCCATTGATTCTTTTGTCCAATTAGATTGTTTGCCAACTCCCATTAGTAAGATTAAAGATTATATTATTTTTACCATGAAATAAAGCCTTTGAAAATACTGGTATTCTTTTTAGTTACAGAATGAGTAAAAAATAGCAAAGAAATAATTTGCTTCCATAATATGAATTGCTTTTGAATACCTTTCACCACTTAGAAGAAATCCACATATCCAGTGCTATAGAGAGGGTATTGGAAGCTTTTTCACAGGGATATTGAAAGCTTTGTACACTTTTGTTTGTTTTTTTTTGTTTTTTTTTTTTGCACCACAGACATAGAAATAACTTAGTATCTAGCTAGCAGGAAGAATTAATTGAAATGAGAAACAACCAGATGGTCTGTGTCTTATCTCCAACATTTACAGTCTCCATCTATAGAACACTTGATTAAAAAGTTGGCAGGAGGGCATCCTTGATCCAGGTACAAATATTGCTAGTGACAGCTCTGCCCAGGCCTTTGGTTCATCTGAATCACTTTGGACTGACATTAATAGTTAAGGAAATTAGAGAAAATAGAACGTAGAGTCCAACTTTCCCCTAGGTTGAATGGGAAGAAGTTGTATGAACTCACTCTGTTTCTGCCCATTGGAAAGAGACTTCTGGGTCAACTGGGGTCCTTTATAAAGTCCTGCCCCCTTCCAGTCCTGTATTAATCTAAACAAGTCCAAATAAACTTTATAACTAAACCACAGGAGAGCATGTATATCCTTGTACATGATACTCATTTCCTCCCTCCATACTTTTGTTTTGGCAGTATACTCCCTCCTTGCCCTCTTGCCAACCCAAAGGGGCAGCTGTTGTCTCCCAAAAGTTTCCATTATGTTTGTAGTTGTTATTTAGTCAGTTAGTCACATCTGACTCTTTATCACCCCATTTGAGGTTTACTTGGCAAACACACCCATTTCCTTCTCCAGCTCATCTTACAGATGAGGTAACTGAGGTAAACAGGGTTAAGTGACTTGCCCAGGATCACACAACTAGTAAGTGCCTGAGGCCAGATTTGAACTCAGGAAGAGGAGTCTTTCTGACTCCAGGCCTGGCACTATCCACTGTGACACCCCCTGCCCTGCCGTTTGTCATCACCTCCATTTTGTAGGTAAGGAAACTGAAGAACATAGCATGACTTGCCCATGGCCATATAACTAGTAAGCCTCTAAGTTGGAATTTGAACTTGGGGTTTCTGAACCCAAAGATTGGTGCTTTTTCCATTATATGCCACTTAGCTGCCACAATTCTTTGAGGTATTGGATTTCATGTCAAGTAAGAAAGACCCTGGGAGGGGGCCTGGGGGAACCTGTGGCCTTGAGGCCACATGTGGCAGGTAGGACAGTATGGCTCAATGATATCTAGATAGTGGAAGGAAGTAATGTAAATAAGGGGTCTGGTTGTGAAGACTTTTAGATGTCAAATGAGGGAGTTTACATTTGACCCTAGAGGCAATAGGGAGCACCTGGAGTTTATTGAGTTGTGTGGTGACATGGAGAGATGTAGATTTTAGTAAAATCACATTTTGACAGCTGTGAGAAGGATGTTCTGGAGTGAGGAGGCACTTTTGAGGCGAGATGGCCAATCACAAGACTAGTATAACAGTCCAGGCATGAGGTGGTGAGGACTGTCATTAGGGTGGTGACTGTGAATGGAGAAAAGGGGACATATGCAAGAGAGATGATATAGAAATGACAAGATTTGGTCACTGACTGAACGTACAGGGTGAGTGAGAGTGACAAATAATGGATGGTGCCAAGGTTAAGAGCCCTGGTGACTGGTTCTTTCAACAGTAATGGGGACCTTCAGAAGAGAAGTCATTTTCACAGTAAAGATAATTAGTTCCACTTGGGCAAATTGAATTTGGGATGCCTATGGAACATCCTGTTTGAAATATCTAATAGGCATTTAGTGATACTGCTTGGAGTACAGGACAGAGACTGCAGCTGGAGAAATAGATTTGGGGCTCCTCTGCATAGAGATAATAATTGAATCCATGAGAGCTGATGAAATCTTTTAGTGAGAGAGTACAGAGAGAAAAGAGAATTCAGGATAGAACCTGGTTAGTCAATGTTAAGATTTTTTCATTGAAGCTGGCCCATAAAGATTGATTCATGGGCTCAGATTCTTAAAATCTAGCCCCTGCTTGGATTTGTATAATCCAGCCACTGCTCAGATTTTTACAATCTAGCCAATAGCTCACTAATGTTCAGACTCCTTAAGAGTCCGCCCAATATGACGGATGTTCTAATAAACCTTGTCTTTGACTGAAAAAAAAAAAAGAAGATTGATTCATGGTCATCTAATCCATCAGAAGCAGGCTCAGAAAATGGCATGGGCCATTTATTAATTTACATCCAGTCCTCCCATTTCTCAGGGTGCAATGAATGGCCTCTGACCAAGTTCCTGAAAAAGATGCTAACCTAAGATCCCAAGGATGCTTGGTGAACATGGAATTTTGACGTCGTAGGCTTGAGTCATTTCTTGGATGCTTTTTCTCTGATATCGTATTTGAAATGAATAGCTCACTTTTCATGGCACAGTGGAAAGAGCATCACATGGGAAGTCTGAGAACTTGCCTCCAATCCCAGTTCTGTCATTTATTAATTACCTTTGTGACCTTGGGAAAGTTACGTAACATCCTTGAACCTCAGTTTCCTCATCTATAAGTCTCGTCCAGCTCTAAATCTAAGAGCCTAAATTCTTTAATTGAGGTGGCCTTCCTGTCTAGAAAGCCAGCCAATGCTCTCATACGTGGTGCCCCACCCATCCATTAGCATCAGAATACTGGGACACCTACAAGGTGTGGGAGGCAAGAGAAATCACTAACTCTCATTTTTCTAATCTGCAAACTGATTATAGTAATCCTTGTTTCCCCTACATCCTGGGGTAGGAAAGCATTTCATAAGCCTTAACTCACTATATAAATGGAGGCTGGAAAATGGGGTTTGAATCTTGGTTTGTGTGTACATGTTCAGTATTAAATATTTATTTGCACACCCTGATTCTGTTCTGCTCTTAAGGCGGTGGGATGTCATGGATGTGTGGATGTGTATTTTCTTTTTTTTTTTTTTTTTTAATTTTTTTCTCTTTTGGCAAGGCAATTGGGGTTAAGTGACTTGCCCAGGGTCACACAGCTAGTAAGTGTTATGTGATGTGTATTTTCATAAAAGGAATCTTGCTTTAAATACATCGGGGGATGGCTGTAACTGCAGCTCTATTTTGATGCCTTGTCTTGTTACAAAAATAACTCTGGGATCTCAGAGACCGCATCAGAGGCACAAGTTCAAGAGACCCTTCTGGAGAGGCTGGAGGTATAACTCTGTGTGTGTGTGTGTGTGTGTGTGTGTGTGTGTAGGGGGTGGTCTGTCAGCAGAGGGCCAGATTTGTGAAATAAACTGGGGGAGGCCCGTCACCAGAAGGACAGCCACTAGCCATGGGTTTTAGTTTTGGCCACAGCGGCTCCCGCAAACCACCTGTCTGCCAAAGTGAAGAAGGTTGTGTCCTGGGCTGGTGGAGATGATATCCTGCTTGAAAAAGCCATGGATTGTTTGGAGGGTTAAAGTAAACAGGGATAAGCACTAATCATAAGAGCCTTGCAGCATTTCTTCCATGTGTAGATTTTGAGAAATGGCCCATAGCAGTCACACTTAATTCTCTGCACCCCTCTGTCCCTTCAGGTACTTTCCCTTCCCTCCCCTTTTCTGTGTTAGAGTGTAAGCTCCTTAAGGACAAGAACTACCTTTTTTTTTCTTTTCTTTTCTTTTCTTTTTTTTTTTGGCAGT